TTTTTATTTTTATTTTTAAAAAATTTAGGCTGAAATTTTTTTTCAAAATTTTTTAAAAAATTTTTTTAAAAAAATTTTTTTTTTTTTTTTTTTTTTTTTTTTTTGCAAAAGTATTGGTGCTCGTTAACGTTTTTTCACATTTTACCGTGCTATCTCCGGAAACTCAATGTGTTTTATTTGAAAAAGTGGAGAATATTCATGAAGTAGAAGGAACATTGAAAATCACACTTCTTTTGCAAATGAAAATCTTTTTATTTAGTCCCATTTTACTTTGTTAAAAGCCTTACTTAACCAATCACCTCCCTAAGAAGATTCAGAGAACTTGACTGGGCTAAAAGATGGTTGGACATTTATTCACACATTAATACCACTAAATAAAATCTAGTCCAAAAACTGACCTCAGATGGCACTTAATTAGTGAAACAATAAAACTAAATTCCAACTAAATATAATCACCCTGAACCATCTATCCCCATGGTAAAACAGGCAACACACGGTGGTGGCTGCATTGTGCCGTGTGGGTCATTTTTTGCAACAGGTTCAGGGAAGCTCCATATTTAATGGTAGGACTGATTAAGCTAAACACAGAATGATTATGAAAACCTGCTGTAAGAATTAAATGTGGAAAAACCTAAATTCTTTCTGTAGATTTTTTTAAATTGAAAACCAGGTGACATTTTTTCCTTTCACTTCACAGTAATCTACTACTTCTTTTTAGTTTATCACTAGAATTCCTAATAAAAAAAACCCCCCAAAAAAACTCTATTTGCAATTGCAAAGTCACAAAATGTGAACAAGTTCCAGGGGTATGAATACTTGTGGAAGGAACTACACAAATACAAAATACAACACAACATTCACGTTGTTGAATTTGATACCAGCGTGCCTGAAAGTACAAGTTTATCTGTGTTAACATTTATTGAGAGAGCAGACTGAAAAGGGATTAACTTTCATTTTGCCTATATTCATTGGCTGCTTGTTGCAGTGGGGGGGAAGCAGCTTCTTATCTGGCGCCGTACAAACAGCACGTCGACTCGTTCTGAAGAACAAACACGGAACGAGGATACTGCGACGACACAACTTGATTGAGTCTCCCAGCTGGCTTTGAGTAGAGTTTGATTCCTCTTGTTGAAATTAGCCTTAAGTCTGTTGCTCGTTAAAAAAAAAAAAAAAATCCTGAGGCTGGTTTAGATTATAGTCTGTCAATCAAAAACAGCTGTCTACGTGCACATGTGTGTAGCAGGTAGGCACTTAAAGTCTCTGCAGGCTTCCTTTGGAGTGTATCAATATGATTGACAGCGTTAATGGTGTAATAATTCCTCACATCAGGCAGCTAAAAAGCTTCAGTTCACACAGGGTTTTTTTTTTTTTTTTTAATTTTTGGATAATCAGTTCCTGTATTTGTTTTTTTTTTTCTCCCTGCACCACAATTTTGTTCTGTTTAACTCCTGCTACACATTAAACTCTCCCTTCTTTCTCTGTCTTTTTCCTTCCTACAGGATGAATGTCGCAACTTTATCAAGGTGCTGCTCAGCAGACAGGGGGGCCTCTTTTTGTGTGGCACCAATGCCTTCAACCCGCTCTGTGCCAACTACACTGTAAGCAACCGCGTCACATCCACCAGCTCTGCTCTAACTTTGTCAGACATTTTTGTGGGCTAGCCAATAACTCAGTTATTCATAGAATTGCTTTAATATAATTGATAAATAGAGTATCTGTGTTTTTTGCGATCAGAGAGCTTGCTTCAGCAGTGCAATTAGTACGTCTGCTCAGGTGAAAGCTTACGACTTGATTTGGGTTGTTTGTTTGGCACTTGAGGAGGTGTTGACTTCCTCCCAAGTAGCTATTTATCCTTTCTGTCTGGCAGTTTTAGTTCCTTGTTTTTCAGGGGAAAAACACTTGTTATTTCTTGGTGGTTAAACGTTCAGGCCTGCCCGTTAAAGAGTCAAAGGCAGAACATCAGGGAGAACAAGAAGAGGGTGAAGAAAGTGGCCTGAAGGCTGGAGACAGGACTTGTTTACTTGGTTGGATTTTTATTTTTTGTTTTGCTTGTGGTAAAAGAAAAACAAATTCCAAATGAAGTGACTTGCAAAAGTATTCAGCCTATTGAATCTGTTTACAATTTGTCAATTTACACCACAAACTCTGATGTATTTCATTTGAATTTTCTCTCTCCAGCTTACCATCAATTTTAATGCAGACCTCCTACATTAAAAAAACATACTTTATTATTTATATGTCTTTTGCAGGCAACTGGTTGTGCTATGTTTTATTTAGGGTTAGAGAGTAAAGTAATTTCAAATCCACATCACACTTTTTAGATTTCGGTTTAAACAAATTTAAATTATTTTTCCCCCACTTCATAGCTATGCACTAATTTTGTTTGCCTACTACGTAGAGCACTAATAAAACACGTCAAGGTTTGTGGTTGTAACATAGCAAATGAACATTCAAGCGGTATGAAAACATTTGCAAGTAACTCTAAAGAAGTAAACATATAAAGACTCAAGTAACTCTAAAGAAGTAGACATATAAAGACTCAAGTAACTCTAAAGAAGTAAACATATAAAAGACTCAAAGTTTAAAGCAACAAGTCAAATGCAGTGATTCAGCTAATTGTCTCACATTTTCCGAGTATTACGCAAACAGTTTGTCCCTAAAAAACAATTGTCAGAATCTGAAGGTTCCACCCAGCAAGTTATTTTTCAGCTCACCTGAATCCTCCTCCACACGTCTCGTTCCACTTTCCCAAGCGATCCCTGTCTCGCTCAATTATGGCGACAACCCGAGACTCGCTGAAGGGGGGGGGGAAATACACATAAATATTAATAACGGGCTCAGCTGATTTCGCATCATTCTTCAGAGATTTTGAGGGAATATACACAGCCTAGTAGTCAGAGCTAGAAAAACAGTGTCAGAAAATGGAGGGGAAAAAAAAAAAAAAAACTTCCATCAAAGATTTTTTTTTTGTATCAGTGTTATTTTCATTCTCTCACATTTCAGATTTGGTGCAACATTGGAACATAGAAACAAACCTGGCCCATTATCTGTCAGCCACTAATGACGCCCTACAACACCTGTCTCCGCCTGATAGGCTGTCTGCTTCTCAGGGGACTAGTTAGCAATGCAAGCTGCTCTTTTATTTATAGCTCTGTTTTAATGAAATGACATTTATAAATGATTTTGCTCTCGACGGTGGATGGAAGGCACTCAAAGTTGTGCTTTTTGTTTTTTCTCTCTCTAGAAACGGTTGAAATAGGTGCTTGTTGGCTACCTTTTTAAATATACATGTGCTGTAATTGGCACAGACGCAGAGATTTCACCATATAGATGCAGAACGGTATAATAATGGGATGAAAACTTGTGTGAATTATTAACTAGACTTCATGTGTGTGTGTGTGTGTGTGTGTGTGTGTGTGTGTGTGTGTGTGTGTGTGTGTGTGTTGGTCTCTTATTTATGTATGAGAATGTGACTCTCTTGTTGCCTAATTGCCACCACTGAGTCATTAGTTTGCGCTCTCCATAACACTGTCTAATTGCCATTCTCTTGTGGCTTGTTTTCATGATGCTGCCATGGATGCATTTATATTGTTTGATATTGTTTGGAGTGCCGTGATTGAAACCTGTTTGTGTTTCTGTTTGCATGATTTTTTTTAAGGGCGACACTCTGGAGATGATAGGTGACGCAGTCAATGGGATGGCGAGATGCCCTTATGACCCCAAACACGCCAACGTTGCTCTGTTTGCTGGTAAGATGCTCCCTCCAGGCTCCATGCACCTCTCCTGCGTTTCGTACGGCGCTGTCGGACAGGGATGAAAAACTGAGGAATAACCCGGTTCCTCCATGAAACTTAATGCATGACACTTCAATATGCTGTACTGGTTCAGCTTCAATTAGTTTTCCTATGCAGTTTTCCTGTTTACCTCACTTCACTGATAATATGATCATCAGCTCTGTGAAAACAAACTGCAGAGAGCCATTATGGAACAGTCATCATATATTTTTTTTTATTGCAGTAATATTTTAGTCTTGTCAGCTGTCATGTCTACGATAACAAACATTTTTGCTTTATTGTGTCTCATTATAATGGCCTGAATTAGTTTGGGCTGCCATCGTTTGTCTCTGCAGATAGTTAAGTGGATGATGCTCTCAGATTCAAACGGTGTTAAAAACGAAGCCGTCAGCTTTCAGCATTTTTCAGCTTGATTACAGATTTCTACTTATGCGTCACTTCTGTTATGGACTTGTGGCGATAAAGTACGGCTATGGAACTTTTTCTGCAGAATGAATGTATATTATGTATAAAAACCTTAGCAACTACCTCAAAGTGTGTAGACAAAAATATCAGTATTTCTGAAATACTGACTATGTAATAAGTAAAACAAGATATGTTTGCTGTTTAGACTATTATACATATTTAAAATGAATGGGTGAATTTCCCATTCAGTGTTCATTTAAACACCACGAATCCTGCAGGTGTTTAACAGATGAACCCAACAGATGAAGAAGTAAAAAATTATATATTCAATTAAAACTTGCTAATTTTAGAAGTATGCAGTTGTTCAACATTGTCCTGAGTTGTGGTGTCCAAATATTTAACGTTTAGAGTGATCTGTCAAAATAACATTGCTTCAGATCTCCTAGTCTTTGTTCTGTTTTTGCTCTGCTAATCTTCAGTCTGACCTTCATGCTTTTCTTTGAGAGCAACAGTTTTCTCTTCTATGAAAGTTAAATCTGAAGAGTCTTTTCTTTTTTTTTGACTGTTGTTTGCAAGGCTTGTATCTTGCAGTCTGCTTTCATAGTGAACTTGCTTCTCCACTTGTAAACTCTAATACATACAGTGAAATGTCTGATTTTCAATTATTTTAAAATCTGTACGTCGTGTATCAGACTCGTATGCCACTACTGTCTTCTCTCTGACACCTAAAACAGCTCTTTCGATCTCCCTGGTGTTCGTTCTCACTTTATCAGTCCAGCAGATTAGCTTATCATGTGCACCTGAGGTGATTTAAATCATTTGAGGAGATAAGAAATGTGTGGGTGTCCTATTGTAAAAGATCTTCTCTCCAGTGTTAGTTGTTTAAAAATGTTTTTCCTGTAGAATGGTCTACCAAAAAGGTTTGGTTTTTGAATCCCAGGTTTTAAAACAAGTCACATATGTGATATTTATGGTTTATTTAGTGTCTTAAAACTCAAATCTGTCCCATTCGTAACCCCAAATGCTAATAAGGTCTTAAAAGTCAGTGTTTTGTTTGTTTTGTTTTGTTTTTGTTTTGTTTTCTCCATATGAAACTGTTTTTTTTTTAAGGGGAACCATTTTGGAGGCTGACATGTGAGGAATTCATATCTGAAGAAAAGATTTTGAGAAGAGAAAAACCTCTGAGGTTCATTTTGATGAAATCAGTGTCAAGATAGATGAAGTTGGGTCTGACTAAAACACCCGAGTTCTCTAAATTTTACCGCTTATTTATTTTATACTGTTCCGGTTCTGGTAATCTTGTTCCTGACTCTTTTTTTCCATTTACTAAACAAGAGCAGTCAGCCACCTGATGTTTCAGCTTGTACATATATTTCCTTATGTAAGGAAATTTGGTTTTGTGAGCCAAAGTGTGTTATTTTGGTGTGCTTATTTGTCCTAATCTCACATTACAAAACACAGACATGTGACCAAAACAAAAAATAAAAAAAAAATTGGTAGATGGGTACAAAATGGTTTGCAGTAATGAATTAAAAATAGGAAGCAATGAAATGGCTCCAATTTGCTGTGTTGATCAAATTGACCAAAAGATGATTTTAACACAAGCCACAGCATTTTTGCAAAAAAAAAAAAAAACAACAAAAAAAAAAAACTGAGCAGTCCCTAATATTTCCAGCATAGAAATGAAATTGGAAAATGTGCACAGCGTCCTTAGAGTCGAGCCTCTCCAACTCATCAGTTCAAGGACAGATCAGTCTTGAAGGTGTTGCAGGAAGTGGCAGAGAGAATATTTCACCAGCGTAGAATGGTTCCACTGAATAGTGCAACATTTATATAACTTAGAAAAAGAGTGCATGAAAATATCACATCAAAATAAAATGAAAACTGTCTCAAGAAGTACATAATGGGAATTCTACTATAGGCCCGATAGCCTTGCATCACAAGATTGTCCAAAAATAAGTTAAATATTCCAATGAGAATAATAATAAAACAACCAAAGATATCAAAGGATGAAGATGTGGCAGGAGGAAAAAAAACAAAAAACAAAGCTGACAGAAGTATTTTCAGGGCGACCAGGGGTCTGTCAATTTTTTTTGCATTTCTCTGTTTACAGTTGCTTTTTTTTATTCTGTTCAGCTCACCAGTATCTGTGTGTGTTTGTGTGTTTCAGAGGGGAATCTGTTTACAGCTACGGTGACAGACTTCCTGGCCATTGACGCGGTGATTTATCGCAGCCTTGGGGACAGCCCCGCTCTCCGCACCATCAAGCACGACTCCAAGTGGTTCAGAGGTACCAACAGGCGCTGGCGTGAATGCGCGCGCTCGTCGAGATGCGCTCGTACGTTTGTGCTCTTGAGCGAGTCGCTCCCCCCGCCGCGGTGTGTTCCTGTGTTCAGAATCCACGCCCTCTGCTCCCGCTGTCCGTCAGAGCTGGATAGGCTTGAGTCGAACGTCCACGTTACTCAGGAAGCCTGATGGATGTGTCGGCAGCTGAGGTTCGACTCGGTAGACTGATTGCGGGATGCAAAATCCCTCCGCATCAAGTTCGATGTTACCGTTGGCACGTGTCGCAGAAAGTCCTGGCTGAATTATTGGCCGAATCGGCATGAAAGTCGCGTCTCAGGAAAAAAATGCCAGCGAGACATAATTCTCTTATTATTTGCTATGAAATCCCCTTTCAGCATGTAATGAAATTAGGCCTGGCTGGTCCCTCTGTGCCCCTGCCCTCATGTTAACTCCGGCGTTGTGGGAATTAATGCTGCATTCACAAACGGAGATGTTTTTGGGTGCGTAATTTCTCACGAGCCATCTATGCGTTCTTTCTTCCACACAACAACACAGAGCCCTATTTTGTGAGCGCCGTGGAGTGGGGACCTCACATCTACTTCTTCTTCAGAGAGATAGCCATGGAGTTCAACTACTTGGAAAAGGTATGAAAGGAAATCAGATGAAAATGTATTTCCTCTTTTGTGTCTGAATTTTTCATGCAGAGGAGGGAGCCGTCTTTTCATCGCACGCTTTAAAAGGACGTCTGCAGGAATATATGAATGCATTGTTTAGAATACAAACATGAAAGGTGAAGCTGAGCCAGCAGTATTGTTGACATTGGAGCGACGACACTTTTACTCACTGCCACAATGACCTTTTATTATTTTCACTTGTTTGCATGCGCATCTGATCTAACAAAACACAGAGCGTGATTCTGCTAACCCTGACAAAGATGTTGATTGTTATAGTCTTAATGCCATTTCCTGTGCTGATAACACATCTTTATTAAAAAAGTAATTTCTTTCTTTAAAGCGCATTTGAAAAGCTTGTGAAGTGCCAGATCTAATAAATGAGCAATTCACATTCTGGGGGAAGTGTTTGCAGAAGGTTTCTGGCTTTGACGTGTTTACAGAGAGTAGAGTAAATGGATGCTCAAACGCCGACGGAATTGGGTGTTCAAAGGACCAATTTTGGGGATTCGCTGACATTTCCATGAATAATTGATGCCGATTTTAGCGTTATTAAACAATGATCTGTCAAAACAGGGTTATCGCGTTGCAAATGGCACGCAAACGACTTATCACGTTGGAGGCGAAGAGCTTTCGAATGTCTCCTGTTGGAGATAAAAATGCAAACATCCCCAGCTTACCGTCGGTTTTGAGGGTTTTGTCTATGTTATGAGGTCCTGTCACAAAGCCAGCCGTGGCCTGACGTTCACAGGTGGTGGTGTCGCGCGTCGCTCGCGTGTGCAAACGCGACCAGGGCGGCTCGCAGCGCGTCCTGGAGAAGCAGTGGACGTCGTTCCTCAAGGCCCGGCTCAACTGCTCCATTCCCGGAGATTCCCACTTCTATTTCAACCTGCTGCACTCCACCAGCCCCGTCATCAGGATGCACGGCAGGGACATCATCCTGGGCGTGTTCTCCACGCCAGCAAACAGGTAACGACACACACACATATATCCCCCCCTCTCACAGATTCAGAAAAGATGACATGATTTAACCATTTAAGAAGAACTTTAACTTTATTGAGTGTAAGAGTGAGGCTTTTACCCATTTCACAGTTACCTTGACAGCGTGCCGCATCTCATCTTGTTCATATTTTTTTTTTTAAACTCCTCAGCATTCTTCCGAACTTTATGGAACATATCCTTGCCGATTCAGTAAAAAATACTGTGTTTTGTTTATTTTAGATTTACTTTTTATATTTTGCCTTATGACGCAGGTTGATATAACTTAAACCATTTCCATTAATATATGACTCTCCATGATGTGAATTTAGCATTAAAGTGAATATACTCCTGTCCGTACCAACTTCAGCATCACTTGCTATGTACAGTAATGTTTTGTTGCACACAAGGAGCCGTTTCCATTTTATTGGATATGGAAACGAGCAATAGAAGAAAACTTGTTCAGGGCTCCAGACAAATAATTTTCATCATGTTATCCCTTGACAGGAGACCCTTCTGTGGCGAGCCATGTCCGACGCATTTTATTTCCATTTTTTAGTCATTCTTTTTCTTTCTGGTGAGAAAAAAGGCATTACTTCTACCGCTTGAACCGTCACGTTTTTGGTAGTGCAAAGTTATGTCTGACAGACATGATTTTAAAAACTGCTAATTGCTTGTGGATGTTGTTTGCACCAGTATTTTCTTTAAACACCTAACTATGGGGATTGGAACTGCTCCCTGTTTTAGGAAGCTTTGTGTTTTTTCAGCGTCTTGAAGAAAGTTGCACGTCAGGCTAATGAATGGGGGAAAAAAATCTGAAGAGTGAACATACCGTGTTATCTAACCCAGACTTTGTCAGAGCTTTGCTTACTTGGAGATGGATATAATTAGTGACTGAAATCACAGAAAATGGGTAAGGAAAACAGCTTCAATATTCAAGAACAGCTGGATCCACATGAATAAAAACCCATTTTAGCCTCCTTCAAACAGAGACCTAGGCAGACCCCCCACCCCCTGTGTGTAGCCGCATTCACATGGCACACCTTGAAATTTGACTGAACCGCTGCTATTTGTTCATTCATCTCTGAAGCTAAAAACAGCGAGTCTTCCCACGGACCCCAACGGAGTTCCAGAAAAATCTCAGTGGCGATGTCGAGGTGCAGAGGTCAAGATGGGAAGCGAGTGTGGTGGAGGGTCAGGGTCGCAAGGAGCAACATGGAGACTGAGGGGAATTTAAAGGCTCAAATACAATACAAGCAGTAAACTAGAGGAACTGTTCAGCTAGGAAACAAGGGAATGCGAGACAATATTATTTATGTACACCCCATGATGAGCTATTTATGATCTAAATATAGAGCTATGCTTTAATTACAGCAATACTAATGCACACAGAGGAATTAATTTCTGCTTATTCTTTGATGTTTCCAATACTTATTTTCCCCTTTCCTCTTTCACACAGAGTAATCTCCTTGCTACGCATTTTTTAGTATATCTACACAAATCACTGTACATGGCGTCGTTCTAAACCTCGTGTGGTCCCTTTTAAAAAAAAAAAAAAAAAGTAGAAACTTTTTGTTTCCCTGCGGTAAAAAATATTGTTTGCCACTAGATACTGAGCTGTAGTACGAGGATTGTAATGGAGGTAAAAAAAAAAACAACTGAGTTTTTCCAAAAGCTTCCAGAGCTCAGTGTAAGCGATCTGCAGCACAGAGCAAAGTGGTATGTTTGGATCACCATAACAACCATGGGACTCTTAACATGCCAGCTGGTGTTTGGGAATGATGTGAGAAAAAAGCCTTTTTCTGTACTTGGATCACAAAAGTAAGCATGTGGAGTTCAAGCACTTCATGAACTCCAAATGGAGGCATGTGCATCAGTCAGCTGAAACCAAAAGCGCTCTTTACCGCCTTGTCAGGTACGACTCCGAAACTAAAACTTGGGTCTAACTGTGAGGAAATTAAGGGGATTTCTGTGGACCATCAAGTGTTGAGTCTTTGAAGTTCATGCGAAGTTTTATTTTTTATTTTTTGTCAGTGCCTCTGTTCACCTTAGTGTCTACAGCAGAGCGGAGACAATAAGACACAATTTGCAGCGTTGTGATGTAGCTTAACCAGGTACGTTACTTTTTGGGGATGTCGACATCTTGTTTGTTTATGTTTTTAAATATAAAAATATCAACTAACATTCTAGCAGCAATTTTAGAAGTGATGCAATAAAGCCGAATCGCTCGCACCATAAGGAACTCCCTAAATTTCATTAATTCAAATAAAATAAAATGCCTTTTAGAGTTATGGTTGCTGGAAAACCTACCAAGCTTTCTTTTTTTTTATCCCAGCATATTAATGTATGCATTTTTAAAAAAAAATATAAACAAAAGAACATCTTCAGATACATCATTTAATAGTAAATCTTTTGCATCTTTGCTACTGACAGAGGAAGAAAGAAAAAAATTGGTGTGAACAAAAAGGAAGATGAGAAGTAGGATAAGTCCAAGGACAGGGAAGTCTGTAATGGACAACACGTGTGCCTCCCACTCCCTGAGACCTAAAAGTGTTTCATCAGCTGCATCTTATCTGTGTGTTTGGAAGAATACGCCGCGGGAGAGTGGGCCGCTGCCTGCAGAGTCAGATGGATGCCTCACATATGCAGACTCGTACACAAATAAGCACATTTTCCGAAAACAATTAAACCAGTTCCCTGATAAAAGCTTTTACTTCTCTGCACAAAGGATGGGAGGACCACCTGAACACACAAACACACACAAACGGTCAACCCGTGCTCTGGTAAGCTGCCCTTGGGTCTTGTTTTAAATAACCGCCAGGCAAGGCAGAAATGGAGGTTCTCGGAGAAAAGATATGGATGCGTAAAGGTGGAGGAAAATGAGCAGGAATTATCGCAGAGAACGTGTGAGGTGAGCTGCAAAAACTCCCCATAGGCCCCTCGTTGCCCGCTGCGGCACGCCGGCAAAGTGCTTGCCAGACAAATTGCCTTGGCTGGCAGAGTGTAGTGGAAACAGCATGAAGCAGGACCTTGGAGGAAGGTAATAGCTGTTCATTCCTACCACTTGGCCCGCTGCAACATCCACCAGGCCGCACCGTGGTACGGGAGTGACGAAATGAAGTCGACGATTTATTGTTCTACATTCTGCGGGAGCTCAGCTCCTCCTGTGCCCACGCTCTCCAGGGGTTATTTTACCACCACGTACCAGCTGCATTCACCGAATGTTTTTTGGCCTCTTTTTTTTTTTTTTTTTTTCCAAAATATACCATCGAGATTTTGAGTACGAGGGCAACAACAAAGAAAAAAAAAGTTTTCGGCTGGTTCAGTATTAGCTGGTTTTTGTTCTGCCAGTTGAAAACGCCATTTGCATTGACTGACGTGGGCTCTTTGGGTTTAATAGAGCTGTGTATAATTTCCCTCGCATTGTAAATGAAATCGCGTGCGCCCTGAAAGCGGGACGCCGTCTCTGGCTTTCCGTGCGGAGAATCCTGCGTGACAGTCGGATGTCCCTCTGGGAAAAAACACAGCAGCAACGAGGAGAAGGAGGAGAACAGGTTTATGATGCCACGAAGAATGTGACACTGGGGAGATTGCACAGATGTGCAGGATAAACCTCCTGCACGCCCCGCGGGCCCACAAACAGACTAGGCAAAGGAATACATAATAAGGTCACAAGCTGAAGTTACTGAAACTGGTACTGGAGAATGACGCTCCACGAGTCCGACTGGAAACCAGTGTCACGAGAGAAATGTGTGGAGAATATTTGGACCTCGACCTAAAAGCAGCTCAAGGCACCAGTGGTAAACATTCTAGGAAAACATCTTTAATTAAAATATTAAATTGTGACTCGTGAATAGGCTATAGGTTTTTGTGCAGTTTGTGTGTTAGGTGAGATCACGTTTCTTGCACTCTTTGACTGTTTACAACTCATTTACCAAATTATAGAAGTTTTTTTTTTTTTTTACTGTGGTAGCTAATAAGCAAAGCATGAAACTTTGCATCCCTCCCTCTGAATCTGTATAAATGAAGATGATCTTTGCAGGAAGTGGACCCATGAATGATATTCTGCTTAGGTCCCAACACAACCATGGACTGGCCCTGCCTCTAAGTTTATCTGAATAACAGATGATAGTTGGTAGTTTTGAACTCATGAGTTGCAATTTTATATATATATATTTTTTTAAATGGACATTATTAAATATAGTATGACCTTCTGTGCTTGATCAATTTGAGCTGCTTTGGAGATGTATCCTTTCTGGAGATAATTGATTTAGCAGATCTTTATTTCAATTTCATTGAGGAATGTGGAGAATAACTAGCTGCATCCTATAATTAAAGGATTAGATTAAAGATCTCCTGACTGTTGTTTTCTTTCCTTATTTTTCTCACTTATCTCTGGAACCCATCATGTGACTGATAAGATGAGCAATTTCATGCCGTCTGAGAGTTTTTAAACAATAGGGCTGCTCATTCAAACAGACGGCATATGCATCCAGCCTGCAAAACTTTATCTGAAAAATAAAAATGAAGCACAATGAAGAACCACAGAGGAGGAGAAAAACAAAATCAAAAGAAATAACCGAAGGGAAGCATAAGTAAGAATCTAAAACATGACTGAGTAGCGCAAGTGAGAGTAACTACTTTGGAAATGAGAATAATAAAAGACAGTTGTGAGAGGAAAACAGCCCGAGGCCTTTTGGCTTTCTTCCATTAGATTTGGAGTCATGCACAGGGCAAAGCCAGTGACCTGCAAGCAGAGTGATGGGAGGGTGGAGAGGTTGGTGAGGGTAGAGAAAGCTGGCAGAGCTGGCAGACGTATCACATCTAACATCTGGTGCCTTCAGTCCTTAGAGGGAAGCTGCATCGGACACATTTAAAGGACTGTGAGAAAGTATTTGCCCCCTCAGACTTCTTCTGTTTTACGCTTTTATCACACTGTTACATCCACCAAGGGCACAACATATTTGAGGACACGAGACAAGAATGAGTGTTCAGCAAAATATTTTATTCTTAAACTCTCTTGAACTTTGGTTTGTTTGGTTCAATTGCTTCTGATTTTCTGTGAAGAAAAAGAGAGTTAAATGCCCTCAGTTTCCTGCGTCCCCCCCAAAAAAAGAAGAAAAACAAAACCCCAAAAGTATTAACAGAAAGTTGGACCTGGTGAGCCGATCAAACAGAACAAAACGGTACAGCAGGGGGCCAACCCTATACAGGGCCGTCGAAGCCCCTACTAGTACCGGACTAAAGCAAAAAAGAACCTAATGCAAAAGAAAGATCGAAACGAGGACAACCGGTCCCACCAGGCCAAAATCACAATGAAAAGCAAACAAACAAAGGCTAACAGAAATACCACATGGCAGGCTGGAAACGTCAGCTGCGGCCCACAGCGACTGGACGTGCGCGCACCGCGTCGAGACGTGTCCCCGGTGGTGGTGGAGCGAGTGGAAGGGCGAAGATCTCAACATGCCGAAACCCAGCCTATTTATAGGCGGACCAGCAGCGCCACAAATTAACATAATCAAATGACCAAAAATAAAAAAAAAATATCCAAACTCCAAATTATATTAACAAAAGGTCATTCAACTAAAGTCTATAAGAAAACAAAGAGAAAATAGACAAAAATCATAATGTGCCCGAAGCACATAACACACACTTAAATGTTTCTGGTCATTAAGTATTTTTTTTTATATTAGTAAAAAAAAAAAAAAGAGTAAATACAACAATTTAGTATTCAGATAATTGTTTCATTTATCACAGGAAAAAAAAAAAAGATATCCAAGTCATCCTGACTCGATGTGAAAAAGTAATTTGCTCTTGTGCTTTTATAACTAGGTGACGACAGCTGCAGTCAGGTTTTTTCCAAAAAGTACATTTTTACATCTCTATGGTAATTTCAGCGTGCTCCTTTTTTCTTTTTCCATGAATTGTTATTCAGCCATATTGGAGTGTTTTTTTTTTGTTTGTTTTTGAGAATAATCATCCTGTTTAAGGTCATGCCACAGCATTTCAGTCAGTCTTGTTTTATTGGCATTCAGAGATGGATTTACTGGAGAGCTTTGAATCACTGTCCTGCTGCATAAGCCAAGTGTGCTTCAGTTTAAGTTCACAAATAGACGTCATCTTTCAGGATTTTGTGTGAAAGAGTAGAATTCATTTCTCCACCATAAGTTGCCCACATCTTAAAGGAGCAAAGCACTCCGTACCAGCAGACGGCCACCACCATGTTGGACTGTCTGTGTGATGATCATGTGCCTTAAAAAATAAAAATAAAAATAAAAAATCTAATCTAAGCTACCTTTTTATGATATTAAAGAGGATCAGTGTGACAAACGAGCAGATCAGAGAAAATCTATATAGAACTATGACTGGGCTGATGTATCACAATCTTTCATATCAGTGCTTTAAATATTCAAAATACTATCAAATCGGTCACATGACATTTCCTTTTTTTAGCCACAATTTCCTCATTTTCTTCTTTCACTCCATGTCGTTCCTTTTTATTTTTAAGCAGTTCTGAGGGATGGTGCTGAAACCTGAAAGTGCTGCTGCGCAGTAGTTACTCCACAAGTGTTGCTAGGTAACCAAAGAGTGAGTGACTTAGTTGATGCTCTAACCTTGCCTGCCTACAACCCCCAGAATGCTGTGCAGTTCTGGATTCCGTCAGACGTGTTTTCTATTGATATTGGTATTTCTATTGCCTCACCCTATTAAGGGGGTAAATGCTTTTTCCCATCGCTGTATGACTACTGCTTCGCTTCTCTAGCCAGGCTTGAGTCATTTCCCTGCTTGTAAATGTCTGTAAATGATAAATACACATCAGCTTGACCCGATCAAGTAGCACGTCGTGAGAGCACGGTTCCCAGCTGCAGCCAGAAAATCCATCCCAACAAACGCCGCTCCCTTCACACACTCCTGGAAGTGACCCTCAGCTCAGAACATAACCCAAGAGGGACTAAAAACCCAACAGCTGGACATTTATTTTAAAGTAAAAGACAGAAAAAGGAACAAACAGCTGAAATTCATGCAGCGGCGGATAACAAGTGGTTCCTAAAGTAGTTCGAAGATTTCTCTCCATGTACGTAGTTACTCATTGACAAGGACACTTTCACAACAGAGTGGAGCAGCAAGCATGGTGTTTTCTTTGTTTCTTTAAACTCATCTCTTATCTCGTCCTGACAGATCTCCCCTCTTTTCTCAGAGTGCCTTAAAACACACAAATGTAGCATCAGGCTCAGCAGAGACAGCCTGACTGTTTGGACGCCTCTCGGTTTGCTGTAAATGTCTCTTTGTGTTTATTTGCACGGGGGTGCACTGGACACTTCTCCGAGCGGCCGGGTTCATGAGCGGTTAAACAGCCTCTGAGGTGCACCGGGCTTTTTACTGGAATGTTTTTGTGGGTTCATTTCCTTTACGAGAACCCTTCCCTCCTCCTCCTTGTGGGGAACTGAATTTTGAGTGACTCATTTCCTATTGTTGCTTTATATTCCAGGAATTTCCGCCAGGATCTTTTCTCGGGCCTAATATAGCTTTCCTATCTGCTGCATATCTATGTACGATGAGCCCAGAGCTGATACTGTCTCTCCTTTCTTTATTCTCAGTGTGTATCAGTCATAATTTCCTTTATGCTCCGCTGTAGGCTCCCAAAAAATAAAAAGCAGAGAGTTTGTCATCTCAGCTGGGCTCCGAATTCTTTTACAGTGTGTACATCTGAGTTTATTTTTATCGTTAGGTTTTTGGGGGGTTTTTTTTAGTGTGGGTTTAATCCTCTTTCTTTCCTTTTTATGTTATTTTTTTTCTCTCTGCTGCCTTGTTGGAGAGTAGAGCTGGCTTGACACGGGGCTGACAGTCATTTTGTGTCAGCTCAAAGTGCTTCATCTGCCTCCGTCTCACCATCCCGTCTTCTTCTCTGCAGCATACCGGGTTCGGCTGTGTGCGCTTTTGACATGGAGCAGCTGGCTGCTGTGTTTGATGGAAGGTTTAAGGAGCAGAAATCTCCGGAGTCTATTTGGACGCCTGTTCCAGATGAACTCATCCCAAAGCCAAGGTGAAGCCAGATGGCGGTGCTCAATGCATGCACCTGTGGTTTCAGATTGTTATCAACAAGCTGGGAGAATGACAATGTCGTTCTGAAACATGATGCCACCGCAAAAAGTGTATTTTTTTTTTTTACAGAGCTTTGCAAAAGTGTTCATACCTAGTGTATGTTGTGAGATCTGTTCCTGGTCCGACACACCTGAATCGAATGGCTAAATCACATGCAGTCACCTTTTTCTAAGTCCTGCCAATGATCAGTCAGGTGTGTTGGAACCAAAAAACATCTAAGATTTGTCGGACACTGGTATTTGAGGACTGGACTTTGACACTTGTGCGTTAAAGAAACAAACTTCAGTGTGTAGATAATTGGGTTTTTAACGATTTATTGAGCAGACCAACACAAAGTACTCCACCACAGTGAAGAAAAAAGGAAATATATTTACAAATAAAATGTCTAATCGTGCTGTGTGAAAAGGTATTTAACCCACTTGATCTGACTGCCCTTTGTGAAATTCAGTCTTGGCACAAGTTGCAGCTGTTCTGTGAAGGATTTTTGAGAACATCAACGATCAAACGGCCTGATGAAGACCAAGAAGAGCAGCAGACTAGTTGGGAAGAAATCTGTGGTGAAGATGAAAGCAGGGTTGGGTTGGAGAACAATATTCTGAGCTTTGAACATTTTACAGAGCACTGTTGAGCCATCAGGAAAACAGGAATTAATGGCTGCCTTTCCATGTAAGCCACCCAAAGCGTACACGGGATCAATTACGGCTTGTTTTTTTTTTTTTTTTTTTTTTCCCTTCCCAATTTGTTACTACTTTGTGTTGGTCACCAAATTAAATATGCTGAAGTTTGTGGGTGTCCCAAAACAAAATGTGAAGGAAGGAGTACATGGGGTGTGGATACTTTTGCATGTCACTGTACCATTTGTGGCATTTTCACAGTCAGGCATTCATTACATGACTAAAGTGTCGTCTGCTGTAGGCTCCCTATTAAAACCTAAAACATTTGTTTTAGGTTTTAATAAAAAAATAAATAAAAATAACATTTTGGAAAAACATATTGAAGAATGTTGGAAAATAAAGAGTAAATGAGGAAAACTCTGTTTTCATTGGAGTCTTGCTACCGAAGAATTTCTATGTGAATGTGAGTCATTCAGACAGTCTAGACTGTCCTTTTAATAATGTATCATTATGGAGACGTGAGTGGCTTGATGTTGTCAGATCGATTCGCTCCCCTCTTTTTGACGCGCGCCGTCTTGTTGTCCCCAGACCCGGTGGCTGCGCCGTCCAAGGATCCAAGTTTAATTCCTCCAACTCGTTCCCCGACGAGATGCTGAACTTCGTCAAGACCCATCCCCTGATGGACGAAGCGGTTCCATCACTCGGACAAAGACCTTGGATTGTGAGGACCATGGTCAGGTGAGAACCCGGTGAAAAACTGGCTCGGCTGTTTTGCATCCTACTTCACAGGTAATTAAATATAAATTATACAAGACTTTATGAAGTGTGGCTCTGTGGTAGGTTGGTATGTTTTCAGGACGTTAGATATGCAATAAAATGAAGAACATGACCATTATTACCCTGCCTGGTTTTTAATATATAATAATTATCAACAAGCTGTTGCATCCAGAAATCTGGAAGGCTGATTCGTTTCCTGCTTTATCATTTTTAGCTGGACAATTATAACACGATTTTTCAGGGGTTTTTTTCCCTGCACTTTTATTTTTTCTTTACCTCAAACAAACCTTCTCTGCCAAATCGGATTTGCCTCAATGTCTACCTTTATCTTTGAATCAGAATCCAATCAGTTTTTGACTAATATAACCACTTAGCTCAGATGTTTGATTCTGAGCTAACACAATCCATGGGTCTCCTCTGTCATTTTCTTTATCAAAGCATATCACTGGATTATGTTTACATGCATCACAATGTTATCAATCCTTTAAAGATCCCGTCATATTTTTCCACCTGGCGAAAGAAAGATCTGCTATGTTTGGGTGGATGAACAAACGGATGGATGGATGACTTTTGCTGAGCACCCATTTATAGAGAATAATCAGTAGAACGTATTCATATTTGAATTACTTTCAAACTTCATATATATCAACATTCTGTATTATATTTCACTGATTAGTTGTCCAGGAAACGCAGATGAATGTACAATGAGACGTGAATGAGCTAAATCGTTGCTGGTAGAGCTTATGATAATAGTCCCCATTCTTTTAGATGTTTTCCTGCTCTATCACGACTGATTCAAATCCCTGAATTACCTCCTCAGCATGTCATCAATCTCTGCAGGGGCCTGGTAATCAAGTATCCATTTGATTCAGGTGTGTTGAATCAGGGAAAGATCTAAAACCTGCAGGAGTCCAGCTCTTAACGGCTGACTTTGGACAACACTGAGCTATAGTGTTATCCATAAACATTAATGGATGCTTGTTGTGTAATTCTCCACTCATTACCTTATATATGGAGTCCACCATCCACCAGGGTATTATGGAGACAGAGAATATTATAAAATATCGCACAACGTGGCTTCTATTCCCATCTATTCGCTCACTCAGTCACGACTGTGTGTAGCGTCACTGTGCTCTGCTATTGTTGCTTTTTAAATCCATTCACTCGACTGATATTAATAATGACTGAAATGTCTGGTTTAATTAGTTTATTATTCAAATTTAATAAGAAGTTTCTACTGTGGATTTCGCTTCATTCTCCAGTTGCTCAAGATAAACGACATATTTTGATTTCGCTTCATGCGGCTCTGTACGTTTCACTTTAGCCAATTTGTTTTAATGGACTTGAATCATACGGTGGCCTCCAGGAGATTCTTGACAACACTTTTAGCTTTCATAAGTGGAAGGTCTTGAATGAGCTGCTTCACTCTGTGGCATTCATACCAGCACTCTGACTCTCTCCTGTGGTTCAGGTACCAGCTGAATAAGATTGTGGTGGATACAGAAGCCGGGCCGTACAGGAACCGCACCGTCCTCTTCCTTGGGTCAAGCAGAGGAACCATCCTCAAGTTTCTCATTATGCCAAACCAAGACAACACGGTGACCAGCAGCAACATCTTTCTGGAGGAACTGGAAGGATTTAACCCTGACAAGTAAGACTACAGAGTAGCATTGGGGGATCAAATTGGTTGTGAATCACAATTTTGAGCTTATTTATAGTCTCTGTTTTTTGAAAACTTTGACCTTCCAATACCATTTTTAAACAACAAATAATAACACCTTATGTTAGTGATCAGTCTTCATAGAAAATGGTATTTGTTTTTAAATAGCATCTGCCCCCAACTTTTCTTTTTGCTGCTTTTGAGTCATTTTCCCACATCAGTTTTATGTTGTTAGAGTAACCTGTTTGCTAAAATATCTGATTTTTGAAAATCCAACCAGTCGGCCACCTTGAGTCAAGCTGAAAATAAGTGGATTATATTTACCACAACATTTCTCAATGAATCACAAACTAAAATTAAAGAATGGAAATTAAAAAAAAATGCTTGAGAAAGTAAAATGGATTCAAAAAAGTGGAAAACTATTCACATACTCTGATTTAGATAGCTTATCCATTTCATTTGCGTATTATAAATCAAAAAGTATAAATATAACACAGGAAGGTAATTTATATATATATATATATATATATATATATATATATATATATATATATGCTGAATCTCATTTGTGTGTGCATTTTCTGATCAATTCCCATAAATCAGGGAGGTGGCTTTTGAACAAACAAAACCAGTAGAGTGATGTATTTTAATGTAAAACTGTCTAAATGCAGAGATTAAGATCTCGCGTTAAAACAGTTTAATCATGTGAAAAAAACCACAATGTTTTTGAAAAAAAAAACAGCGTTTTTTTTTGTTGTTTGTTTTGTTTTTCATTTTCAAATTTCATTTCAAACTGGTAGAAAGCTAAAGTTATGGTTCCAGTGCTTATCTAGTGCTGGTACCAGTTTTCAACTGGCTCTGCAAGAAAACAATTGTGCTCTTCGTCCACCTGGGGGACGAGTTGTAGTCGCATCATTAGGTCATTGTAAGCATTTAAATCAGTTATTCTTTGATCCTCCCTGTTCTGTGTTTCTGTGAAGGAGCACGGTACAAAGACACAGCTACACAAAGCAAATCCTTTGATTTTTCCCAATATTACTGCAAAAGAGGACCATTTTCCACAATCACCAGCTAAATTTAAAAATTCAGTTTTAAGCAACAGGCGGCGACTGTGAATGCTTCACAGTCCTAATCAGCTGGTCCTTTAATAACGTTTGCAGCACTGGAATACAGAGTTAGTTCGTGGATTCAGTGGAATATAATCAGCTGCGAGCTCGGCTGTAAACAGGACATTGACCTACTTAAACTTCAGCATGGACGATTTGAAGAACTGTGGGAAGATGAGAGACAGTTGGTTTGTGTTATTTTGGTGCTAATGCAATTTTGATGCAATTTTCAAAGGTGTTTTTTTGTTTGAAATTTGACAGATCAAAACCAAACTGAACTCTGAAGTCTTAAACATTACACTCAAAATGTTTTGATTGTCTGTCGTATCCTTTAGCCTTCCTCCATCTTCTGATGAAAGTGATTTTTCTTTGTTTAGTCCAGAAGCAAAGTCATGCTAGGGGAGCAACCAGTTTTTGGATCCAGAGCTTTTAAAATTAGAAACATAAAGAACTGGTTTGGTAGAAAAGGCCTCAAAATAGTAGTTTTCAACATTTTAATGTTGGTGTCCTGTTTCTAATGTGCTTTTCATTTAATTGATGCTCAACAATATCTAATAAACACTGTCAGGAAGATAAAGTATACATTGAGAAAAACAAAAATGCCAGCAAAACTCGGCAATCTAGATGCAATTCAACATCAGTTCACAGTTGTGACTGATGGATAACTATTTTAAGATTTTATAGGTAGTTTACATATGATTTTTTCTTATCAACTTGATGGGACTGCACCATCATCAGACAAGGAATTAGGTATATTTTTAGTCAGCCGCTCCTAATGATTGCTAAATTGTGCTCAGTTTGATTTTCTCAGATATATATATATAAAAAAAGTTTTAAATTCATATAGAATATGAGCCCTGCTAATAAATGTCTTCATTTGAATGTGTCGACCAAGATATAAATCACTTTGCAGTGTCTGAGACAATCCAATAACATACAAGAAGGAGAACTATGGTAATTAGATGAGACTTGAATTAGAGCCTAATAATCATTATCACAGAATCTGACTGTCCTCTAATGAGGTTGAGACAAACTGTTATGGGCAAACATTAGAAAATAATGAAAGAGACGTGAAAATCCAATCATCCTTGATCTTGACCAAAGTTATTGCCAGGAAGGCAGACCCTCAGTCTTCAGTCTGAATTGAATCCTATTCCTTATCTGCATCTTAGCAAGAGATTGGATTGAACAGGGCCTCTTGTGCTTCTGTAATTAGCATTTTGCACGAGGCGCACAGCTTTGAGACTTCACTTGATCTAGATCATTACGTAGTGAACACTGGATGCATTTCCTTTTCACTCCTTTTTGTGTTTTGTTCTTTGCTGAAATGCAGCGTTCCACATGACAGCAGTGGGGAGAGGGGATAATTGTCACACAGATGCAGGCAGCTTTGGATGGTGATTATCTTTCACTAAGGATAATTAGAGGCATTTGAAAAGAAAGATGTTTCTAAACAATTTCTGTTGTGGTAATTGGGAATATTTCTTGAACTGACTGGCTAAAAACAGACTTTTTTTTTTCTTTGGCTCCTTTCTCATCTCTTTTAACCCATGCTTATGATTTCTGTCACAAATTTGACAAAATGAGGGACAGTGATTGCTAGAGAAATGTGAGGGAGACAGTTTGACAAATAAGCTGGTGAGGCCTGGAGCCAGTGTGTTAGGAATAATTTGGTGTGCATGGTGAGCTCACTGGGAGGTTACTGACAGTCCAGCTATCACAGCAGGCGTCGGTCTAATCAGGCTACAGCTGCATCTTCCTCCAGGCCTTCGTCACCCTAACCTGTACATCAAAAACAAAAGACCCCTAGAGATTCACGAGAGATTTGAGATTTGAGCTCTCTGGTTTTCAAGCTTTGACCTGCTAATATTAACTTTAGCTGTTTAGATTTGGTCAAAATGTTGATGTTTTTTTTCCTAGACTTCTAGAGAGATGCTGCTTTAAGACAGGATGATCATCGTCTTTTGCTTTTTATAAAAAAAAATAAATAAATAAATTAAAAAAAAAGACAGGATTTGGAGTGATGTCATCTAAAACATATTTCCGCACCTTCTGTTAACGATTAAGAGGTTTAGCATCACAAACTGTAAACAGTAAAAGTCTTCATGTGTTTTTCTTAAAGAATGAAGATCCGCAGCTTCATTTAAAAGATTCCCAAAAGATTTCCAGATCTTCAAAAATTCTGCATTTAGGAGGTTTGAAAGCTTAAAGAGCTAAGAAAGAGAACTTTGCTAGTACACATTTAGAAATCTAGTATTCTGCTGCAGTCGGCTCCAGGTCGGTCTTTCCTTTGCCAGTTTCACAAACCGTTAAATTGTCAAACCACTGATCAGAGCACTGATAGGAAAAAAGATAGGATTTCTGAGTTTCCAACCCACTGGTCATTGTTAAAGGCTGAGCAAGCTGAAAATCTTCCCATTCCAATCATAAGTCAATTTCTCTGTGCATCTCTTAAGAAAAAAAAAAAAAAAGTGCGACAAGCACAAAATGTCACTTGCAGTTATTAGTTGCAATTTTACAACAAAAAGGAGCAAAAACTTTTGAGATGCTGTTTTCCCAAACAGATCCATTACCCATTTAAAGACACACAATGACAGATAAAAACCCCCCAAAACAAAACAAAATGACACATTGACTTGAAATAACAGAGCCATTTTAGGTGCTAGTTTCACTTTTTTACCCAAACACACTGGCTTTCTGTGCAAAGATAAAATGTTGTAGGTATACTGCAGCCTTTCCTACAGTCTGCTGTGAGGCAAATCTATATTCTCAAATGCACCATGCATCTCCTGCTATTTACTTCCCTCACCTGATCTTACTTCTTTAATGTTCTTTGCTCAAGGCTTCTTTACGTTTTCCTCTACTCTCCAGAACTCTCCCTTCTCATTTTCCTGCATTTCATGATTCTGGCTGTGAAGAATGACTCGCACCTCGGCCTTAGCAGAATGATATATTCTTCTTAATGACTGTGGGCCATCCACAGTCTTATTACCATAGATATAACTAATGCATGGATGCACATGTGAATAATATGGTGTAAATCTGCTGCATGGAGGCAGGTTGTTGCCAGCTCTTGTGGCTCTAAGTGCCAATTAGAGGTGATTTGGACCCTGGCCGCTGTTTTTGAAGGCCAGTCGACCCCTTGAAGTTCCGCAATCAGCCTATTTGGGTTGGCATTTTAACATCGGGCACTTGTCGCTCTCGCTTTTATTACAGTTTTTTATTTTATTATTATTATTATTATTTATAGAGCACTTTTGGCTTGTTTGTGTTTCACAATGAGTCAAGAGAGACGTTTTTTTTGCCCTGTTGCCATGCTCAGATCAAGGTCAGGGGTATAATGTGCGGTCACGAGCTAGTAATTGAAATTGCCTAATGCAAATTCTCTTTGTTTCGTGTGTTCCTGCCCGTTTCTGTGATGCAGGTGTGCTGAGGACTCTATGCAAGCCAGGCAGCTGCTGTCTCTCACTCTGGACCGGGCGAGCCACACACTGCTCCTCGCTTTTCCCTCCTGTGTGGTCAGAGTGCCGGTGGCCCGATGCCAGCTCTATTCCCGATGCATGAAGTAAGCTTGCGAAGCATAAAGCACAAACCAAACCTTAAATGGGCAGTGGGGTAGGAAAAGAAAGTCGGTGACCTTGGAGGGACCATCCAACATTTGTCTTTAAGGAGGGTGAAAAGTAGAGCTTTGTTAGCTGCAGCAGACCTGAGCTCTGCTGCAGCAAGCTGAGAGAAGCTCAGCTTGAAATAATCTCTGGTCTTAATAAAAGGAATAGTACCTAATTATTTCTGAAAACTAAATTGAGTCCCGTTTAAATGATTGAGGCGGTGGGATTGTAAAATATTCAATAAAGGCTTTTAGTTTTGAACCTTTTAAGACCCACTGGGCCTGTTTTATCCCAGTAATATTGAGATTTTGGTGCAAAAACGATTGAAGGGCAAGCTGCAGATGTGACTTTAGGTGTTCTTTACTGGCAAATAGTAGAGTGGATTGATTGAGTGATAAGTTTGGAGACGATGGCCGAACCACAATCATATTTCTTAATGGTTTCAGTAACTCCCCTCACAGAGTTCAGCAGAAGTAATGAACAGAAGAGGATTTAAAAACTGAAGGGTTTATTTTTAAAGTAACCACAGCTGTAGTCTGAAAATGTATTCTCATAACAAACACTGCTCTCCCAAATCATAACTCTTCAGTTTTATCGTTTGTAACTGGGGGTGTGTGTGATGTTGGCCGTTTTAATCCGAGAAACAGAAACTTCAGGCGTGACGTCATCACTCATTATCTCTCTTCACATAAAATACCATAGCGAAACGAGGCAAAATTTTATTCAGCCATGTTCAGGGGAATTTTGGGGAAATGTAATGAATTGCTTGTATTTCTGTATGTAGCTGCAGTCTAACTTGATGTCCCCTTTTCAGCTTAATTATTTCCACGCTGGACAATTCTTTATTTACATAGAATTTATTAAACTGTCATAAAATAAGCGAAAGTCAGACATTGTGCAATGTCGTGTTTGTCCAAGCACCTCTGACGCAGAGACAAAATGACTCCATGTGGTGCTTTTACTTCTATAGAAATATTGCCGGTTCTATATTTTGCCATGACTTGGAAGATGAAACCGATTCCATTGCCTCTGATCACTTGATGATAAAAAAATATTATAATTCCCTGGTTCCTGTGTGCAATTACACTGGAGCAGTTTATAGTTTACATAGTTAGAACATCTGTTTATGATCTTGTGTGTGTGTGTGTTTTTTTGTTGTTGTTTGTGAAAATGTTAATGAATAACTCAGTCAAGATTCAGGCAGTAAAAGATTTTAAATACAGGGTTTTTTTCTTGAGAAATCCTGAGCTTTGCCACAGCTGCATTAGAACAGAACTTGCTATTAATTATCAGACACGGACGAACTTCCTCTGCTGTGCTTCAAATCAGCATTGGCTTTAGGATGTATACACAATCAGAGAGCTGTCATGGAAAATGAGTAAATCTTTCACGAGTTACTAAATCACAGCCTTCTGTGAAATTGACCAAATGCGTGTTTTTTGGCTGTGCGCATATTTGTAAGATGATGGCAGCTAAAACTGAAGCCGCCTTATTTTTCCGCGCCTTAAACGACTGCTACTCAATGCTAACCTGTGCTAGTTTGAGTGTAGCTTCCAATGCTTTATTTCTATTTTAATAAAGATCAAAACAACAACAAAAAAGTAAAACGACTGGCACTCTTGCCCAACTTTCTTCTGCTAGTCATCATTAAAGTTCAATAATGTGTTGAAGCATTAGTTATTCAAAGGAAATCACAAACAACTCGAAGGAAAAAAAAATGCTGTTTTTGGAAAATCTTGAGAAGTTCCTCATGTTGTTTTCATTTGCTCCTTTTCATTTATTAGTGGCATGACTTTGATGAGGTTTTTTTAAATAATAAAGTTTTCCTTTTCTTTTTTTATTTTATTTTAACCACTGTGCTCAAACCATGACGTGTAATCAAGAGGTACAACCCAAAAAGATTGACCCAGGCCATTTGGACAGCTTTCCTTCGTTATGGTCAATTTCACTCATAATACACAAGATATGCATAAATGCGATGTAATGACGTTCCACCTGCTTACACCCCGTGCAATCAGAGCAACACAGGAAACACTCTTCTCTTCACGAGACCTGTGGCTGCGGCCCGCTGGGGTCCACCGCCACACTAACACAAACCAGTGCAGCACGTGTGTTCACTGGAGCAGGTGAGTCATGCAGGCGTGTAATCCAGACCACATTTGGAAACCACTCGTATGCTCCCTGAGGTGTGTTTAGCGTGTGTGCTTATTATATTTGCGTATCAGGGTTCTTTTTTTGTGCATGAGTAGGTTCAGGATTTTTTAGTCACGTTTCAGCGGTTCATGCTCTGTGTTTTTTTTTTTGTTTTTTTTAACCCGCGAGCCGTGATTTTGAGTATTTCATTAGCATTTAGACAATGGTGATGTGTAGCTCCCTCTCAATTTAGTTGTAATTGTTCAATTAAACCTTTTTTTAATTATTTAGAAGAAGTTGAATTTGCAGCCCGCACAGACCAGGCAATTTAGACTTTCACAGTCAGACCTGTTTGAGGTCCATAGAATGTTATTAGAGATTAACATCAGAGGATTTAAATGTTTTATAATTGGGGACTGGTCTGTAATCCACTCTGCAATACTTTACAAGAGAGAATATTAGTTTTTAAAACAATTTTATTGGGCAGTGGTTTCTGTTACAAGGGACATTTTGTTACTGTGTTACTACTAAATGCTGCTTGTGGCATTCGATGTTCAGGAAACTAGGAAAACACAGCCATATAAGGTTTTATGTGTAATTTATTAACATGTTGCACTGAAATTGTTACACCAAGCAATATGGACACCGACAACGTTTCCTAAACTGGGGTTACGATGATTTATTTTCAGTTTCTTTATACTAAAGTAAAATCTAGCCATGCTTGTCATTTGAAGCCACTTTACGAGAGAAACTGGTTCGATGCATATCCAGTCGTTGAGAACCTGATTTGGTCCAACTTCAACTCAACAAGGTCCAGTTCATTTAAATCCAGCTGGTCTTTTTCTGTTTGTATGTCAAACTTTTAAAAATATTCTTTGTATTTAAAAGCCCAAATATGGTCAAGCATAATGGATCAGGTCTGACTTAAGCCTTGGCGTCTTCAGTGTTTGTGGATGCTCACTTACATAAATAAACAAACAAAAAAAAAATGCAATGAAATTACAAAATAATATAGTTAGATTTAATTGATTTTAATTCCACTTGGTGGAATGTTTAAAGGAAGTTAGTCAATTGAATCAAGTAGTTTTAAGTCATTCAGTTCCCTTTTCACAAGGGACAAAACTCCCAGCTTCAGTGCTGGAGGCTGAAAGGACAGGAAAGGGACAATGAAGAACTCGGATGTTCTGGTTGTGGGGACCTTTTTGGGGGGGAACCCAAACTCATGAGTACCCGTAGGTATTTAGATCAACATCTCCATCATTAGGAAAGAGACAAACGTAAACGCAGGATTACTCAGCCAGCTGGATTTACTATAAAAGTAAAAATAAAAACACTAAAAACACTGACCCATGGCAAACGTCCAGATTTCCTTTGGAGGTGGAAACAGTTTTGCAAAGACAACCGTGCACACTCTGTTTTATTATTTTAAACTTATAACACTGCCATTAAAAACTTTTCCTGCAATGAAATACTGCACTTTTTTTTTTATTTATGTCATTAAAGTATCGCATATTACTTATGGTTTATTGTCATAATAAACATTGAAACCTTAGCAGTAAACTTTAAAATGTCCTCTACAGGCTGTAGATGGAGAATTTAGTGGCAGTCAGCATCTCTATTGCATTTGTGCAATATAGAGAGCTGTGAGAGTCTTTTTCTGCTTTGTGAAGAAATCTATTCAAATATTGCTGAAAGGCATCCAGGTATTGCTGACTCGGGTTACATTCATCTTCACTGGATGACGGCCTGATTGACAACTGGGAAACGTTTCAGTTTTAAACCAAAACTGATCAAAGCCAAATATAAATCCATGTTTAACTTAATGGAGCCTCTGTCAGTCGCAAAAGCACAGTTATTTATTGTTCTTTATTAGTCTTTCAAACACATAAGTGTCCTTTACAGCCTTGGTTACCCTGAAACTAACTTTTTCACCAAAATGTTAAAATTTAAATGATTGTCTTTGATGTTTGTTTGTTTGTTTGTTTGTTTGTTTTTTATGTAGGCAAATACATAAAAAAGGTTTGTATTTTTAACTGACCTTAAACAGAAAACACATTTTATGTTGCAGAGAAGAAAAGCATATGTGTGTTTTCAATAAAGTGTATATAAATACGATGTTACCCCTATATGTAAAAATGTTGCACTAACTACACTAATTTGTGAACTGTGAGCCTTCGTGTTTGAGATGACTATCCCTTTAAGTTGCTCTCATCATCATCAAGTGGATCAGAGACAAACTTTGAGGCCTCCTTAAGGGAAAACCCAGTTTAATCTTTGAGGTTGAGGTAATTAATTTTCCTCCACATTTCCTTCAGGAACTGCATCGCCTCCAGGGACCCGTACTGCGGCTGGACGAGAGGAAGCACCTGCTCCTTTCTCAGACCTGGAACCAGGTGGGACACTTTTCCTTTGCGGCTGCACACCCCATGCAAACACTCCGAATGCTTCTGTTTCCTGTCTGCTCTGTGACACTGTTTCTTCATCCTCTTTTTTTGAAGTTGTACATGGTTTATTACCACTCTCTCTTTTCTTTCCCTTTGATTCTAAAGATTTGTTTTTGTGTTGATTATTAGTCATCCCGTGGTTATTTTTGCCTTCTGAGAGCAGAACTGGCACCCTTAGAGATATTCCATGCATTATTTATCCACACTGGGAGTTTTAAGTTTGATTCTAGTCTTTAAAGTTAGTTTTTTTTCTCCTTGTGTCTCATCTATGACATAGTCTTATTTTTTGTGTACTTATGGTTCATCCTAAATGTTGTTTTTTTTGTGTGTGTGTGTTTACCTACTGAGCTGTCACAACACACTGCGTAGGTGTCAGAGATGTCGGGTTTGTATACCAGAGTGAGACCCGTCGCTGCTCCTGCTGCAGTTGTCTGTCTTCACGGCTCACCTCCAGTCTTGATCGTTTCCCTCCACTGAAATCAAATCTCTCATAAATCAAGCCGCTTATTGAGTTAGGCTTTCAAACACAAGTGTAGTGCCAGCTGAACAGACAACATAGGCCTTAAATACCGCCTCGGGTAGGCTGCTTATACTATTAAAGGCTTCTGTGTTTTGCCTTGATTAGATTTACCAAGGGCGGTCAACTTTGCAATCGAATACGTATCGAGTTTCTGAGAATTTCCTTTTTGTGGAATAATGCAACCTTTCTCAGGTAGCCATCGTCAGACAGTATCATGCGACTAGAGATTGTGATTTGGAAAAGTCACCAGCTTTGCATGTTAAAACCATTCGCCTTATGGTTTTATTTGTATTTCTGTGATTGTGCTTTCCTGATTTTAGCATAAAATCAAATAAACTAGGTAGTAGGTGATATTTTGTACACAGCTTTTGTCAGAAGTTTGCCATTAACATGCCATTGACATGAATGTCATATTAGGCTGTGTGCTTCTAATGATTTATTAAACTATCAATCTGAAGTGTTTTAGCACAATTCTGGCCAGATTTAACATCATTCTTTGAAGAATTGGTATATATTATTTAAACTGGTCAATATTTTTTTTCAGATTTTAAACAGGTTATTTATTTTCAATAGGGTTGCACCAGAGAATTTGGATAAACTTTACATTATCCAGCTTTATCCATTCCAAAAGTGGTTTGATGTGTGTTTGGGAGCACTGTCTTTCTGGAACTATTAATTCTGTACAAGTTTCAAAGAGCTGAATGTTTTATGTGAGGTGAAGTACAAAAATTTGGACTTGCAGCCTGGCTAGTTAGCGGGTCGTGCAGTGGGACTTACGGAAGAGTATTTATCCAAACACTGTTGTAGTGAAAGATATATGTATGTCATTAAGCCTATGCATCTTATTTTGTCTGTGTGAATGAGTTGAAATTATAACATAAAACTCATTGCATCCAATATAAAAAAAAATTAGGAGGTGTGCTTGAAATGAACCATTTGAAAATATCAGTCAAAGGAAAAAATATTATTCAAAGCATGGGGTGACTTGTGGAATAATGGCAATGTGTGCATCCCATACGCAGCCTGATAACCAGTAAAGTCATCTGCGGTTCTCCATCTTGGGATCTTTGCTCCCCTTTTCTCTCTTTCTGATTGCCATGATCAAAGGCCCCTAATGTCACAAAGTCTTAATAAAAGGGCAAAATAAATAGACATGCATGTCCTTGCTGACCTCATGTAAATGTCTGACTGCAACAGTAATTTCCTATTTGCTTTTTCATGTTTGCATCTGTGCCACTTTGGTTGAAGGAAAGTTTTACCTTTCATGACATTCATGATCCTTTTCAGCTTGAATTTTTAACATCTCTGTTCTCCTGCCAGCACATTTGTCCTTTTAAATCTGGTGCAAAGTAAAAGTACACAGATGTTCTGTCCGGAAATTATAATAGTTACTTGATGTATTATTTTTCTTTAGTAGGAATGCAATAAAGGTTATCAGCACCTCAGTTTTGGACACCATGTTGCAACACTTTGAACAGCATGGACCATGGAAATCATCTGGTCTTTATTACATCTTATTTTGAAGGCTTTGAATAATGAGTTGGTGTACCTGGACAAATGTACAAGATGTACAAAAGCAACACTGTCAGTCTGTATGTAGTCTAGCAGAGAGTATGAGGCAGCCAGCTGAACTCAAGACATTATTCTTTGTTATAATATCTGCCATGCGTCCACTGCATATTTAAACTCATTTATCAATGCGTTTCAGAGGCATTAAAAGGCCAAATGGTTGCAGTGCAGCAAGGTTTTCTAATTGCAAAATCAAACTTTCAAAGGCAGTCTAGTCGTCTCATCTGCTCTCGTTCTTTAGATGTTGTATGCGGGTCATATATTTGCTTTCCGTGGAACCAGAAACAAAACAACAAATCTGACATCTTGAAAGAAATGTCATAATCCAGATTGTATAGGAAAGTGCGACGTGGCTTCGGCTTATTTCCCCATGTGCTCATTAGGATTTTCACCAATTATGCATTGAAGGAAAAAGAAATTCCAACCAAAATATGAAAAGTTATTAAGACATATGTTTAAGATTTGGGGGAATGATGCACTCTTGCCATGAATTATATCAACTCGTGCCAAGACATTGTTCCCTGCTGCTAAACTCCACAGTGAACCGCCACTCAGGCTTTGGACAGCGTCGGGTCCACTCCTCCTTCCTGTTTTTGGTCTTTATGAAAGCCAACTTGATGGTCTGCTGCCCAGGGCTCAGATTTAATGCAATTACAGAATGTTATCGGCAAGCCCATCTACCACTAAGGAAGAATCTGAACATACCCCCCCTATATCCTAAATTATTGTTAATGTTTGAGGGAAAGGTACTGTAATCGCCACTCAGACTGCAGACAAATCAGATTATGATTAGATCTCAGCACAGACTTTGTGTAATGTTGTTTGCAACTCACCTCATTATTTTCGTTTGAGACACTCTGTTGATATTCTTCCTTTCAGCTTCACCTGACAAATTGAAGCCCCTTTTCCACTGATTCTTCTCTATGTTGGTCCTACAAAGCCTGAATTCTGCTCAGCACTTCTGTCACTTTTGATTTTTAAATGTCACTGTGTGTTGCACACTTTGTTTGGCAGCCAAAGCGCAGGAACCAGACGTATCTGTAGAAAACTAATCAGAATGGGATTTCGAACCAATTTCAAAGGTTATTCTGATACTCCTGCCGAGCTGCTTCTTTTCTACTGTAAAATCTAAAGTGAAATCTGTTTAGACATTTGTTTTTTCAGTGGTATTTGTGTGTGATGATGATGCTGCATTTTCATGGTTGTTTACATCGATTACTAATTACCAAACAGTTCAGGTACAGTGTCTTTATACACTAAACTAACTAAACTAAACTTTTTGTCACTCTGCGGTCTCAGAATCAATATATTCGGTTTAGAAATAAAAAAAACTGGAAAACTGTGACCAATCCCTTTGGGCTTGATAACCCTAATTAGAACTGTGTTGGAGTAATTGTTTTTAAAGGTCAGACATAAAGTTGTAGAGATGTTCAAAGCAGGTGAAGGTCATAGAACAACAATACGAGATTTTAACATCAACAAAGGTACAGCCGTTCACCTAAACTTTCTTTTTTAAAATATTTTGTTCAGTAAAATGTCAGAAAACCTTGTCTCATTTTCCTTCCAATTCTGCACCATTTGGTTTTGGGTTGCAACATAAAATCCCCATTAAATAATCTGATGACTCTTATTTGAACAAATGGGGAAAAGCTTATATAGTTTTATAGGATGCAGTACGTTTTATTTTGCTCTTGAAAAATTGCCAAAGCAGAACCTTCACATATGTTCCACTTAAATCGCTAAACAATAACTTTTTTTTTTTTCTTTCACATGAATTTCATTAAATGAGCTCTGCTCTAAATGAAGCCTGCAGGCAAGTACATTGTGCTCAGACTAAACTACACGGTCTCGTTTGTCTCTGCGCGGCGCAACGTGGGGCTGTTCCCTCGACACGAGCCGTAACCAAAAGCAGTTGTGTTTTTCTTTGAGAGCACCTGGCCTGCGCCGAGCTGCTCTCATTTCCTCTGGACTTCCTCGCTTCGTTGTAACTTATATAGTGTTGAGTTTTCTGCTCTCGCCTGTTGCCCAAATAGGAAATGAGTTTCAGAAATATAATAAGTTACATTTTTTTATGAGATTATTTTATTTTTTTAAAATCTCACAATTAAAAGTGTTTACTTTTTTTTTTTTTTGGAGTAGCATTTTAATAATTTGACAATATTCTTCTAGATTTTTATGAATCTTAAATAGTCATGGATGTTGACCTTCTGCTTGAACAGCAAGTAGTTTGGTTGAGAGAGAGAGAGAGAGAGAGAGAGAGAGAGAGAGAGAGAGAGAGAGAGAGAGATTGATTAACCACCAGGAACGCAACCAACAGATTGGTCCTATCAGCCAAATAAAGACACTCAAGACCTCAAGTTGCTGTGAGTATAAAACACACCTGTCCTCAAAGTCATGAGATTCTCACGGTCCAAGCCTCAGAAATAACACAGAGCTTTCAAAGGACGTCGGGAACAAAAAGTAAATCCGAAGAAGGGCTGGAATGTTGTCCAGAAACCATCAGCGACAGCTGGTGTTTCATTCATTCGGGGACTGTAGAAATATAAAATGCAGACAGTGACCATCAGTCTGTCTTTGAGCTCCATCCGAGATCTTGGCTCATTGCTGAAGATGATCATGAGAAAGTGGAGGAATCAGCCCAAAGTTAAACAGGGGAAATGTGTTAATAGTGTGGTGGTAGTTTGAACCAGAGTCCAGAACATGATTGGAAACGTACTGAGCTGCATGGATTAAAATCTGTCTGTGACAGAGGAACATGTTGATTCCTAGCTTAGGTTTGCATGAAATGATTTTACCAAAACCCAACTCTCCGTGTTTGGATGAAACGCCGATTATGACACGAACACCATAGAACCTACAGGAGGAAAAAAAAAAAACACAATTGGAAAGGTTATGCTTCAAGCTTGTTTTCTAGAACATTTTTATTTTTGCAAGTACATAGACCTGTATGTGATCATTTAAGATCTTTTTTTTCCCTCAGAATATTTGCCATGTAGCAAATTCTGCTTGCAACTAAGCCCGTCATGTAATGTTTTCACAGATTCACTGTTTGAAACCGTCTTGATCACTCGAGTTAGTCACATGACTGTCATGTTATTAAAAAATGATATTTTTAAAGATATTCTGATTAAGAGCCAAATGTTTGAAACTTCAAAACACTTTTGCTGTTGCAACCAACGCAGTCGTAATGTGTGCAAGACTTTTTGTTCATTTAAGATATCTTTTATTCACACTGTGAACGAGCAACAGCCACATATTATTAGTGTGCGCATGTGTGTATGTGTGTGTGTTTCCTGCCATAGTTCTTCTATTACAAAAATGCTGAAGATGACCCAGTAATTTTCCCCACAGTCAGCTTGGAGCAGTTTCTTCTAAAGGCACAGAATAACTTCAAACCTATTGGGGGAGGCATGTACAGTAAAGTCTTGGAAAGGAATCTTCTGATCTGAGCCAGAATCTTGCAGATTGGCTTTAGAGCGACAAAGAAGTGGCTTAAAAAGAATCACATAAAAGTAATAAAGTTGTCATGAAACCTCAAGTATTTAGAGACTTTATGCAAAGAGGAGTGAGCCAGGATTCCTCCTGAGATGTGTTCAAACCTTGTGGCCAACTAAAAAAAACAACAACAAAAAAACACCTGCTGTGTTGGCAAGTAAGGTTTTCCTAAGAATTGGGTCACATTTTGCAAATACCTACTTTACCTAATGGCATGCAGATAATTTATTAATTCATGCATTGTATTTTTTAAGTATTTTCAGTGATGCTGTCATTCTTTAAAAAAATGAAAATATTATACAACTGACAAACTATTCATTTCAGTGTGACCCTATTCCAGCCATTGAATATTATTGGAAGATGAGTCATTGTGCCTGGAAGAATGTACATGGAATAAAAATGCGACATTATCAGCCTACATGCAGACAAGAGAGAAGCAGACTGAACAGTATTTGTTGTTTAGATGACAGACTAACATGTTTTGCTGTGTGCATTTAAAGTAAATTGATATTTGCAAGCAACACAAACTCCTTAATCCTTGAAGACAGGGAGTTTATATTTACAGCCCAAAAAACTTGATGTGAAGACTTGCATGCTGACCTAGAAATATTTGTCATCCAGTTTGAATAAGCTTAATTATGGACGCAGCTGCAGGCGGGAATGGTTATCTTTAAAATTGGAATGGTAATTATTATGGAACATTAGATACCTCAAGGGCCTCTTTAGTTGTTTTTATGACTTAATGAATTTTCATCCACTTTCTCAAAATAAAAACGAGTTTCTTGAATTGAACCAGAAAAAAAGAAAAAAGCTTGTAAAGATTCACACAGTCCTTACCTGTAACGGTGAGATAGTGCAGCCCTATCAGGGCCGATCTGCTCTGTGTTTCAGTCGCTGGCTTGCTGTGCTTGTGTGCTCTCTGATTAATGAGTGTGCCTTTTATCCTCCGCAGACTGCCATTCGAGCAAGATGTTGAACACGGAAACGTGGCCCACTTGGGTGACTGCGACGGTAAGAGGGCCGAGTCTTTGTCGGTTTACCTGGACATGTGAAAGTAAATGGCATTTCTTGTATTTCCCACATGTTTGCACGACTTTCTCAGTTCCAACAAAAAGGCAACAGGAGGAAATTTGAACTTGGCTAGTCCTTTGGTATGAAAATGCACAAATAACTTTTAAAAAATAAGTTCCAGTTCTCTTCAGTGCCTTGCAGTGTCTCGTCTCTCTGCAGAGCAAACATCGAAATCTAACATAACACCCTTCTGGTGTCAGTTTGTCCCATGCCAGCATAAAGAGCAGTTGTTTCATTTTGTTGTTTGCATCTGCTTTGTGCCAGGCTCTACTTCATCTACAAGTAACTAATTATGTAAAACACCAGCCTTTGTTTTTTTTTTTTCCTTTCTATGCATAGTTATGAAAATAGAAGCTGATTTAAAGCAAAGTTTAATCTCTGCTGTAGATACGCAGAGGTTTTTAGGATGCTCCCCTGACATCCTCTCTCTTTGATCTTAGTGCTAATTCCAAAGCGTGCAAATTAATCCATCTCTTGTGAAAGTTTCCCCAAGTTCATGTGCCGTGCTCCAGGAGAAAAGAGAGATGAATATTTCAGAGGGTGCTCGCGTACAAGTCTAATCCAGCTTTAGAAGGGTGCTCCGTTTGATGCTGTGCTCTCACTTCAGATCTGCTGACCAGTGAACCACGGGGCGGGTTGGGGGGGGGGGACCCTGTAATGGAGTCAGTCTGCATGTGGTGAAAATTGGCTAGTTATTTATCTTCACTAGGCCCACGTGTATCCATTTTATGAAACAAGCGAGGAACATTAATAAAAATGTTGGCCTTACTTCTAAAGAGCTGCCAAACGGTCTTCGCCCTGTGTCTAACACAAATCGTCTTATAAAAGGTCTCAGTGCTTTTAGCAACACATTTTATAATATGGTGACACTGCAACTTGTGATTTAATTTTAAAGACGGGTGAACTGCTACAATTTGTACCCTAGTGTCATTGTTAGGATCAGTCAGTATTCTTGATTTGCAACCCAACATATAGCATGTCACTGTGCAGGTTCACAGCGGGTAGCTCTACTTCTGACCAACACAGATTTAAGTACATTTACTGCTCAAACATGAACCAGCTTGTCTTCATTTATAAATTTTTTTCATGAGATGGAAACTTTTGCAAAAATACATTTCAATGCATTTACTCTATATTTTTTTTAGAAAGTCATATTTCAATAAAATGTTAACATTTATAAAAACAAAAAGTGCATCATCAACACTTTCGGTATTATAGTCTCCATACTTATGTACAAATGTTACAATAGTTCAGAAAAGAAGTGGCGGATTTAACTTTGCTGACGTAAGTGTAACCAAACCGCGAGAGGTTGCACACAAACAGACGACCAAGAAACCCGAGAAAAGACAACTTTTTTTCACTTCCTGATAAATTCCCATAATTGGGGGGGGGATGGCCCCGTAAAGGAAAAACGTCCAAACATTTTGAAGCAAACGTGACCTTTTTCCAAACATTTTCATATAACCCTCAAAAAAGAATGTCCACAGTGGATCGGCAGGTGAGACAATGTGCAAATGATGTAATTTTCCAGATCATTGACTCAGAGCAAGCAAGTGGACATGCTGCTAAGAACTGGCACTTGTATCTCTTTCTGTTTAGTTTCAGATTTAAACACTTAAACTCTTCCTGACGCCCACGAGCAGGTGAAGAGCTCTGCTCTCTGCTGGTCTTTTAGCATCAACACCTAAAGATGTTCTGCTCCCCCGGACCTCTCTTTGAGGAATATTCGGGCTCATTTTGCCGCCATTAAAAACGCCTGAGCTGAACAAAAGTCTACAGCAATGTAAACTATTGTTCACAGCAACTTTTGCTTAGTTGTTGTGAGATATTATAATCACCTTAATCTCATGGGCTGTGACCCATTTTCACGTCAAATATCAATTTAAATGTGACACTTTGACTGGGATGCTCGTGTTGTTCTTGTTAATGCTCTCTGTTTGGCTGAGATCTTTACAGCCTTCTGCACACGCAATCTTCAGTCAGAGGAAGACAGAGAGGCACAGCTTCAAGAAGGTTGTTATGACAGACTGTCACTGACACCAAGACTTTGAAAACTGTCTGCTCTCTCCCTGTCTCTCTCTCTCTCTCTCTCTCTCTCTCTCTCTCTCTCTCTTTTTCTCTCTCTCTCTCTCTCCCTCCCTCCCTCCCCGGGTCCGTCTCTGAGCTCCTGTTTATTACGGGGTTGTTCTTCATGCATTCAGGACACACATACTCTGCATCTTTGTACCTGTAAACACCTTCACACAGGATTTGTCCACATTAGCACAAGCTCTTTGAAATATTTCCTGCTGAATATTTCATGTCTCCTGTATTTGGCTCATTTCACCTGTCTGTATCTTGACCCAGCAGATGAAAGCAGAGTTGTGGTCTGGCTGGTTTATCTCTCTTTTGGAAAATTTCAGCAAACTCATTTTCACTGCCTTTTCAAGATTTCTCCCCCCACTCCCCCCTCTGTGACACACTCTCTGTGTCTGCCTCTCAAACGAAATGTTCTCTCCCTCTGGCTTCCAGTCACAATTCAAAAGCTCAGTATGTTTAACATAAAATAAATCACTTAGCAAATCTAGTTAAAAACAAAAGCAATAAAAACATTTTTCTGCTTGATATATTTATCCAACCTGCGGACATTTGTTTTAAAATCTTTGCTTGGTGGCTCTGTAGGTTGTTCAATAAAAATCTGATTAATATTATATTTCTATTTTAGCTTTGCTTCCTTTATCTTCAGATTAAAATTTTATGTGGTGGGATGTTTCTTTTATAAACGTGGTAACCTCTGGTTGAATCCACTATGAAAAACCCCCTAAAGATTAGGTATTAGGTACCAAGTCGCAGTCGTGCATTTTATTAAAATAAATGTTGTGGATATGATTAAAAACCGAATAACTTCACGAAGGCAAAACATTTAATCAGTTTTATATAATCTAGATTAGTATCGTGATTCTGTCCCTCTTAACTCGGCTGCTTCGGCTGTTGCAGATTTTGCCTCAATACGCTTATAGCTAATTAGGTTAACATGTTCACATGGTTTCCAACTGCATGTCATCTAAAAATAAATTTTCCTTAAAGATAAATTTCACCTGACACAGACAGTGGCAGCTCAAGACAAGCTGACATCCTCCTGCTGACCATGTTTTTATGCTAATCTAAAGCGTCCATGTTCACACCCCATTGTGGCTCATTGATAACTGGCGTCTTCGTTCATTTCCGTGGTTCCAGGTAATGTTAAAGGTGTGGGGAAAACTTTCTGAAAAAGCTGTACTTGATAAACTTAGTGTTTCGCTTTGAGTGCCATGAAATTTAATGACTGGAGTTTCCTCTTCCAACGCAGTTAGCATAGTTGCATCACACAGACAGAAAGGCAATCACAATAGTCGAGTCTCCCTTTCACTGTCATCGTAAAGGATGCAAGTCCCTTAGATAAGTTTGGAGAACTTCATGATCTGTTGACTAATTTTGAAAGCTGTGCACAAAAAAAAAGAAAAAAAAATTGTTGTGACCTTAAAAGCATGCTGCACACAGTCACATGGCTTTCAGATCAAGTGATAGTGTTATGCTGAGGATATTTGTAAGGTTTTAAGCTAAATTTTAAAATAAACTAATTGTCAGATGCTTGTTCACTATCATAGAGGTTCTTTAGGTAGGAAGTTCTTGTTTTTCTTAATAAAGTCCTTGTGGTTAGGTTGGTTATATTTAAGCTTTGGAACTCATACTTACGCTTTTTATTGCAAGTCTATTACTGCACAATGTAGTTTTGGCTCGTTTGCTTTCCCTGTGGCTCTCCTTTTACTCATTTCTCTGCTGCCTCAGTCGGGGCTGCACCGATTTCAGAGCAGCCTTGTCGTCAGACCACAAAGGGAGATGGATGGACGGCCTTACTTAGAGCCCAGCTAACTGTCTCCCCTCTCCCTTTAACCAGGGAGAAGCAGTTGCTGGAAGGAGAATCGATTTTCATCTCCTTTCTGGCTGATGGCAGGCGAATGGATTTCAAGGGTGATGCTGCAAGGGGAAAAGGAGTGGGGCTGAGAAGAGCAAGAGTGGAGAGGGAAGGATGGGTAAATCAAATCGAAGAGTAAAGGGCAGAGCAAAAAGGAATGAGGAAGAGATTGAGAGATCATAGGACAAAGGAAAACTTTGAGGTTTGAAAGCGTAAACTGGCTCAGGTGATAAGATGTATGAATATTGAAACAAGGCGGTGAGCGAACAGGAAGAGCGAGGTTACAGAAAAAATATGAGGAAAGACTTTCACTTTTCACATTTGTGCGTTTGTACTTTTCGATCATTTTTCATATGTATGCATAGATTACTGATGGTACCATGAAAACTGAATCTTTTTTCTGAAATATTTCTCCTTTCGTTTAAGTTTGCCAAAAAAATAAAATAATTTTTTATAAGGGGGATATGAGCTATCTGAATCAACCTGAAGAACAAAAGCAGCACAACATACCTCAATCTGAAGAAACCCAAGAATAAGAAACGGAAGCCATTGATATCTATAAGCTCCACTAAGGGCTACAAATCTATTTTGAGCTCCATTTTACTCAGTGTTCATTTTACTCAAACATATCTATGAAAAGTAAAATCAGAGAATATTTTTTCCAGATATACAAAGTTTTTACACAAAGCAAGTTTGGTTTAAACATATGATTTATTTATTTTTTCCTACTCAGGCTATCTTTGATATTAAAGTCTTTATGACCACTTAAGGCTGATAAAAGAACAAAAACCATACGGATTCTCTGGGAATACTTTTTCACAGCACTTTAATTAGTTAAATGCCACACTCTTCCCCGGCATGCCGTCTGTATTGTTGGTATTGTTGGCCAGATTGCTTTTTTTTTTTGTACTCTTGGATCAGCTTAGAAAAGCTCACGGTTTGCTTTTGGAACCTGCCTCCCGACTTCTAAGAGTAAAGAAAGCTGCAGGGAGCCGAGAGCAGCATC